AACTACTAATAAATTAAAATGAATAGTATCTCTAATTTCAAATAACATATTAAAGAAAGAGGAAATGGAAGAGGAAGAGGAAATGGACAAAACAAGAGAAAAACAAGAAGGAAAATAACGAAAAGAAGAGGAGATGGAAAAGGGAAAAGGAACTAGAAGAGGAAATGGAGAGAAAGGAGAAGGAAGACGAAGATAAGAGAGTGAAATATAAAAATAATAATAATTATTTATTTATCAAAACTCGGAGAAGGAATGAGCAAATGAAAGATTAGAAAGTAGAAGACGGGAGAAAATGGTTAAGGAAGGTTGAAGTTTTATATGAATAAATATTCCATTATATGCATAAATAATAAATTTCATTTTGCCTTTCAAAAAAAAAAAAACATCAAAATAAAAAAGATGGTTGTTTGACGGAAAGGTTGTCAATGTCAGCATTTAATTGATAAAATGAACAAAAAGTATCGAAAAAAAATCAAGTTTAGTGACCATTTCAGTACTTTTCTAAATTCAATGAGCATCTTGATACAAATCTGAAAAAGTTACGGAATCATTTTTTTGGTACTTCAACCTTTTTGGAATTCCAAATGGAGAAATGGTAAAAAAAAAAGGTCAAAGCACTATTTGCACCCTCCATTTATTTTTTTTTTCGTGGTCAACACCTTTCAGAATTTTTCTTCCCTATTCACACCTTTCACTTTTCAAAACCGTGAAAAACCCAATATTTTAACGGGCCATCACGACACCGTTAAAAAATACACTACGTGGCACTCAGAAATTGACATGGCACATGCAGCGTTTTCTTCTTCGTTAGGTTCAGATGTAGATCTGTTTTTTGATGATGTGGCTTCTTTTCTGCACACGTGGACGCCACATGTGCAGTGGAGCCCATTACGCGAGACTTTTCCCGCTTGTCCCCGTGTCCCTACCAAAAAAAAAAACAAAACAAAACCTAAAAACCCAAAGATTTTAAAACAGATCTGCAGAAACCACCTTCTCTTCTCTTCTCTTCTCTTCTCACTCTTAAGAAAAAAACCCAATCCAGAAACCCATCGATTTGGTGCGATCGAAGGGAATCTATGTCAGTGAGGAGTCTGAAAAGCGAAGGAAAATCAGAACTTCTTGTTTCAGATTAGTTCGTAAAAGTCTTTGATCAGAGGGGACCATTGTCGGGGAAAAAGGGCACGATTAAGGGCACGAAAAGGATAGAAAAGTTTGGTGAGTGCCTTTATTGTCAATAAGTTTCATTTTTCTATCATTCTTTATGGATTTTTGTATTTTCTTGAACAATGTTGTTCTTTTGTGTCCCACCGATTGTGTCCCACCATTAGTGTGCTTTGTGTTGTTTTATTATGTTAGTTTAATTAATGAAGTAATGCCTTAATGATATTAATTTATTTGTTGTACAATAATGGGGGACCCAAGTGGAGGTATTAAATGGTTCAATTATGGTGGGCGTTTTGTACAGGGACCACCATTTAGATATGTAGGGGGTGTACGAGAGGATGTTCCATGTGATACGGATAGGTTGAATTCATTTATGATTACTGACTATGTTGTTAGACAAGGTTATGATCGAGTTTCAATTAAAGACATTTACTATATGCAACCTTGGATGGATATGCTAGAAGGATTAGTTTCTTGTAATTCAGATAGTGCAATTAGGGAGATGAATGATATAATTTCATATGCTGGCAATGTGGAGTTGTATGTAGACCATGACATCAATATACCTAAGATTGTTGAGGGTCCACTATTGCTCACAGGGGATGTTTCCAAAGATGAGGGTGACAATAGTGGTAGTGATGTTTCTGTGCATGGGGATGAGGGTAATTTAGGAAGTGAAAAAAGTAGTGACGTTGATAGTGGTAGTGATGATGTGTCAGTTATTGACTGGGAGACAAGTTTAGATGATAATGCACGGTCATTGGGGAGTGACAAAACTGATGATGAGCAAGTTAGTATTGCTAAGTTGGCTCAGGAGGTTAGGAAGAGAAGGAGAAATGCCACAAGAAGTAGTAGAAAGAAGTCTAAGGCAGCTGTGCAAACTGCAACTAGGAATGAGCAAGAAGATGATCATGTTGAAGAACCTGTAGTGACTCAAGAGCAACCATCTGTCCAGCAACAACAGCAACCTGTAGTCACAGATGATCAAGCTACTGTCTAAGAAGCTACTGTGACAGATGCTGCTGGTATAGAAGAAACTGCAACATGCAATAGAGGTAGAAAAAGGAAATCTATTACTCAGCATAAAGTCAAACAAGGTGGTGGGAATAGGGTGAGAAGTGGTGATCCAATTGACAGCACGCAGCAACTGCCTGTCAGTGATGACAGTGGTTCCTCTACAGATGAAGAAGACAGGGAGTTTGATTATGCAGACAGTGATTATCCTGGTGTTTGGGAATTTCATTGGAATTCAGATGATGAGGATGACATCTTTGTGCAACCAGATCATGTTGTTAGCAGAAATGTCTGTCAAACCTACTATAACCCAAAATGGAAGGTCCCATATTTTGATATTGGGATGAGGTTCAAAGATGCAAAGCAATTCAGAATGGCAGTTTGTAAATACTCCATACAAAAGCAAGCTCAACTGCGAAAGGTCAGAAATGAACATACTAGGGTGAGGTTTAGATGCCAAACAAGGTGCAAATGGGAGTTGTTTGCATCTTATGACCCAAGATATGAGTGTTTTGTGGTGAAGACATACTATAAGGAGCATAGATGCTTCAAATCTTATGACAATGAGCTTGTAACTTACAAGGTTGTAGCAGATCTTTTTAAAGGAAGGATTTATGAAGCACCATTTACAAAGCCAGTCGAGATTGTTAAGTGGTGCAAGACTGAAATTAAAGTGAACATCACACTTGACAAGGCAGAAAAAGCAAAGAAGCATGTTATGACATAACTGGAGGGTAGCTATGTTGATGAATACAAATACTTGAAGAGCTACACTAAAATATTGAGGGATAGCCATCTAGAGAATACTATTGTTGTCACTGCCATTGAAACAAGTTCTAGTGATACTAGAACTTTCCATAGAATGTATGTCTGTCTGCATTCCCTAAAGCAAGGTTGGAAGGATGGGTGCAGAAGGTTCTTTAGTGTTGATGGTTGTTTCTTGAAGGGAATATGTAAGGGAATTCTACTATCTGCAATTGGGAAGGATGGGAATAACCAGATGTTTCCAATTGCCTGGGCAGTAGTGGAGTCTGAATGTCTTGAGTCATGGCAGTGGTTCTGTGAACTACTAAAAACTAATTTAGATCTTGGCATTGGTGCAGGCGTAACAGTTATGTCAGATGAATATCAGGTGAACAAATCAATAGCTTTTATTCATTTATTTATATGCATTTATTATTTTTAATTATTAAAACTTTATGTTAATTGTTGTAAAATTACTCATTGTTGTTGTTATTGGTTTTAATTATTGGTATAGGCTATATTATCAACTATAGAGTTAATATTACCCGAGGCTGAGCATAGGCACTATGCAAGGTATATTTATTGCAATTGGGCAAAGTTGGGTCATAGAGGTGATGAGATGAAGATTTGCTTCTGGAATTGTGCAAAGGCAACATTTCAGGATGATTTCACTGATAAGTCAGGTGATTTGTTTGCAAAGTATAGGCAAGGACATGATGACTTGTTAGGGTACCCTAGAGAGCATTGGTGCAAAGCATTTATCCAGGATAATTGTAAATGTGATTCAATTGACAACAACATTTCTGAAACTTTCAACTCTTGGATACTGAGGGCAAGGTGTAAGGCGATAATTGCAATGAATGATCATATTAGGGATCAGTTAATGGTTAGGATAGTTGATAAAAGGCTATTTGTAGAAAAATGGCCTGAAGGTGATGACATTGCTCCTAGAATCAGAAAAAAGCTTGAGGAACTGAAGGCAGAGTCACAGGGATGTAGTGTGCAACCAAATGGGGTTAATGAGTTTGAGGTCAATGATGGTGGGGATCAGCATGTTGTCAAATTTGATGACAAAACTTGCACATGTACATACTGGCAAGTCTCGGGGGTTCCTTTCCCTCATGCTTTGGCTTGCATAAGGTACAAAAGGTGGAGAGTAAAGCACTACATTTCAGATTTCTATAAGAAAGAAAAATATTTGGTTGCCTATGCATACCCTCTTCAATGCATAAGGAAAGGGACAAAAGCATGGAAAGCTGTGGGTGAAGAAGAGTTGTTACCACCACCTGTTAGGAGCATGCCAG